TTGCCGATGACGAGGTCCACATAGTGCGCTTCGTAGTTTTCGGTGTCCAGGTGTAATAATACGTTGAATGCGATGTCTAGGTGTCCCAGGCTGCCGATGACCAAATGGTGTCCCAGGCTGCCAATGTCTAGATAGTGAGCTCTGTAGTTTTCGGTGTCTACGTGTATTAATATCTTGAATTCGATGTCTAGGTGTCCCAGGTTGCCGATGACGAGGTCCACATAGTGCGCTCCATAGTTGTCGGTGTCTATGTGTATTAATATCTTGAAATCTGAATGTAGGACACGTAGATATCGAATTCGAGGTATTAATACACGTAGACACTGAAAACTACGGAGCGCACTATGTGGACTTTGTCATCGGCAACGTGGGACACCTAGACATCGAATTCAACGTATTATTACACCTGGACACCGAAAACTATAGAGCGCACTATCTGGAACCCGTCATCGAATTCAAGCTTGATTCATAAGAATCGACTTAAAAATTCCCTAGCGGCAGAATTAAAATTATGTCATGACATAATAAAAATTCGCTGAATTAAAATTATGTCTAGACATAATAAAAATTGGTTGAATTAAAATTATGTCTTGACATAATAAAAATTGGATGAATTAAAATTATGTCTGACAAAAATAATTCCGCATTTTTATTATGTGTATACACATTTTAAAAAAAAAAAGGTAAAAGGAGGCGCTAAGTACACGCATAGTAGTGTATATGTATTATGTTGTTACCTCGAAAAAAACAAATTGGTAGTATTATACCTCCAAATAGCTTTACCCTGTACATACTGTTTATAAAATGCGTAATACTACAAAAAGGCGTGATATCCGTACAAAATTACCTTTTTAAAAAAAAAGGTGAAAAAAGGCGCCAAGTACACGCATAGTAGTGTATATGTAGTTATCTAAAAAAAAAAGAAAGTGGTAGTATTATACATCGAAAAAACCTAAGTAACAAGTGGTAGACGTAATCTTTATATCTCAAAAAATCTTGAAAAAATCTAAGCAGTAGTATCTTTATTTCCGAAAAATTATAACCCAAGTGATACACATCACAAAATTATGTTACCTTATCAAAAAGAAAAGTCGCGCTTCAAGTGATCTATTACAATTACAAAAAAGAAATGATATCTCTTTAAATTACAGCGCCAATTACAGAGAGAACATATATATTGCCTCAAAAAATAATTGTTGCACTACTTTGAAAAATTTTTACATTGTGTCAATTAGAAAAGTATGTATGATAACAATTTTATAAGATTAAAAAATATTATTTAAATTTAACAAGGGAATACAAGATATTTAAATACAAAGTTTACATGTGTATTTTTTAGTGGTCACAAAGAATTACAGAGGTACACAGTACAAAATAAAAATATTTTATTAAAATACATAAATTTTTCTTGTAAAATATTAAGTACGTAGCATGTAATATTCTTAGCGGATGAAATAAACGTGTTTATTCAACATTTTTTAATATTTTTTCATCATTTTTTCAACATTTTTTCAATATTTATACAGCAACATATTTATTTATACTGTTTACAGCTTCCTAACCTACTAGCAGTATCCTGTTAGTAGGTTAGGAAGCTATAAACAGTACTGGCATTTTACCCTTATATCTAAGTAGTGGCATATTCCCCCAAGAAGCAGTTTTATATTAAAATCAGCCTGTATGATACGATTGCCAGTAAAACGAATCGGCGACGTACTGAATACTTTTATCCTAACTAATATTAATAACCCTCAAAGGACTCCGTCGGGTCGTTTTCGTCCACCCGAAAAATACGATCCTGAATATCTTTTTTTATATTTTTTTGAGCCTGAAACTTATTTTTTATATTTATTACGGATTTTAAAAAAAATCACTTTTTTAATTTCTTTATGCTAATAACTAAAAAAAAACTATTAAAGAAAAAAATGTTTAGAAACCAACATTACAGCTTAAAAGAGGAAAGTTCAAAGAATATCTATGAATTTTGCGCAATTTTTTGAATGATATTTAATATTATTTATAAGTCGAAAGGCAAAAAGGACCCGACGGAATACTTTTAAGGTGCCAAAAAGCACGGACTCTTTTGAGGGTTAATAGAACGACAAGCTGATCGAGTTAAAAATAGTGTAATGCTTGAAGAATATCTTATATAAAACACTATATATAAAGAAAATTCTAAAAAGCACGTTGTCATACTTGTCATACTGTACTTACCCCATAAAAATTATAATACTGACAGAAAGTAAGTAAAACTTGGACAAAACGTCAGATATAATATTTTTAACAATTTTTACAGTATTTACAACAACGCTCCTAGTCGTAGCTTTGTTAAACATAACGAGTGGCATATTGCCCCTAGTTACCCTATTCTATGTATAAGTAAGAACGTTTTTTTTTCTGTGTATATTTGAATTTCGAGGTAAATTCAAGGTATAAAAGTAAACGTGATTTTTTACAAATAATATTTTATTAATATTAAACTAGCAAGTAATCGAAAATGCACGTACATTAATTCCTAAATTTTTTAAATAAAGAATCGAAATTAAGCTAAAAAGTACTGCATGGAATTGAAGTTTTATTGAAATTTCACAGAACAATTTATTGTTTGAATAAAACAGTTCACAAAATAAATGAAACGATCGTAATAATAAAAATTAGGTTTTGCTCTCTAACGATTATTTAACGTAAAAAACTGAACCGATTAACTTTTGAACGCTAATACGGCATATGATTGTAATTGAGTCACTGTAATTAGTTCATCTTGTATCATATATATAGATAACTTGCTGATTTTAATATTGTGAAAAATCAAATTGAACATGCGAAAAATAAGCCGGAAAAACGGCGCGCGCTTTATATCGTATTTTATATATTATTACGTTCTTGTAATATTACATTATACATATTATTTCATCGCGTTTCGTTCGCGATCTGAAAACGCATGTTTCGCAACTCGTAAATAATTGCGTACGACATATATAAAATGCGCGTAAAATTCGACCGCGTTCCTCCCATCGGCGATAGCTTGAAATATTTAAATGGCCGAAATAAATTATTCCCTAACGCGCCGCCTGTATATGAATTAACGAAGTAGCGAAGGAGCATTACGTTATAATATCACTTCTCAGTGTTTCCATCGTCGGCGCGATATTACCTGTCCTCCGACTTCGCCGCACTTTGTTATAGGTCCGCGATCAACGCGGAATAACTCTCGCCGCGCGAGATAAGACGGACGCGATCTCGCTCGTAACGTGCAATGGTGGCAGTAAAACGCTAAATGTGTATCGGATCCCGCGGTCGTTATCGGCTCGGGGATAAACGGCGGGCGTATTTGCCGATCCTGGGAGGAATGCCGCTTACGTAAAGGCCGCGAGTATAACGATCGCTTTAATTCATCTCGTGGAAAAACCGCTGGGAGAGTGAACGGTCGCTGGAGAAACTGCCGGATCCGACTCCCGATCTCGCGATCGTTAAATCTATCTCGCGTTATCTCGGCCGCGCTGTACCCCCCGCTTTGCATTAATCTAATGAGAAATTAAGATGTGGCTTCACATAATCATTATATTACGATTTATCATCTTGTTTTTCTTTATTCATTTTTGTATAAGTTTTTTTTATCAACGTTTGACTTATTTTCAATTTGTTTTCCACTTATTTTACGTCAATGTATTGTGTCTTTAAATTCAATCTCTTATCTATCACTTCTGTTTAATTAATGTAATGGCTGAGAAGATTCAGTGTAGTCGAAACGTATACCAATTTATTTTTGTATATATTAAATTAATTATTTAACAATTATCGTTGCTTGTTTATTGGTCTTTTTCATTTAGTATTAAGCTTTTCCCTTTTTGCTTTCGATACGCGCGACTCATCTCAGAAGTTTCAAGAGCAATTATGTCACCGTACGCTTGCTGATTAGTTAAATTAGCAGTATGATAAGCCTTTGTACGCAGTTACAATATTTTTTATATTAACGCATGTAAGAAATTGGAGGTATCGTGGCGTGAGCGAGTTCGCCAATTATTTTATTTACCGAACGCGCGGATTTTCCATTTCCAGGAACAATATAAAAAGCCGGTCACTTCGGTTTGTTGCTGGCACGTACACTGCGAGCAATGCTGGCTGCACACGCTGGTGAGTGTTAATTGTTGATAGCAGCTAGTACGCTTCCAAACTGCCTAGTTATTTTTCAGACAAACACATTTTAAATAATTCAATTAAACTCTTTAAACTTATAACTCAGACGTAACATGCAACTCACAAAATATAGCTTATTTCTGTAAATATATATTAATACTTATAAGTAACCATAATTGCCAGATCGACATCTGAATTTAATTTTCTTTTGCATAAAACTACAGCATTAATTTGATCACCGATGAGTATATATTTATCGAAATTTGTCGAAAGTCGCCTCTATTCAAAACTATTATCAGTTGTTCTCTACCCAGACAGCACCGTGTCGAAAATCGAGTTATAAAACGTCTTAAAGATGTCTCAAAGATGTCCCGATTTTGGATACGCTTGCTGTCTGGGCTATTCTTCTGACTGTTCTCGAGTTCTGTCCAATGATCACTTTTGGTCTCGAAGCCTGTTGAGAGAAAACGAGGTTTCTTGCCGCTGTTACAGGGTGCGAAGAAGCTTTGTCCACAATGCAACATGATAACGTCACCGTCCGATCTGCGGCGCATCTACATGTGAACGAGCCGACTCGACGTCCCTCGGGAGTCCGGCGTTCTCCCCCCAGCCAACCCCCGGAAATTCCGGATCGGGCGAGCAGCGTTATCAACGAGCGTTCGACCTCCTGTAAATACTTGTATATTTCTCTGCGTTACGTAAATTAACTCCCTAGTATGTACGTTTATGCATCTTAGAGCTAGTAAATTAACTTCGTTAGTTCTTAACGATCGCCAACCGAGCGTCCACTCCAGAATTACCGACGCAGTTTTGCGCGTCCATTAACGATCGCGGTCGACATAATTCGTCTACACTTACAAACTCGCCGTCCCTTCCGAAAACTGTCAACTTTTCCATGATCTCGCCGCACCATTCCGCTATTCCGGACTTGTTATTGAAATCGCAATGTTATTGCAATACTAATTGGACGAGTATATCGATTCGAGTTCTCGATGATTTTTTTACAGCTTCGTTAAAAAAATGTATGTTCTGTTTTGACGAAATGAATCTTTCAACTTTAATTTTTTTGATACTTAATTGTATATTTTTGCGACAAATGACTTTGTCGCAATTTTTACAATCGAAATGTTTATACAGACATCTGAAATAATTTTTTATTATTGAACAATCATCATATATATTATAAATGTACACTTCTAATGAACGTGTCGCAGGTATTTCGTGAAATTAGTTTTCTTTTTTTGTAAAATTTCTAGAGAATCCAGAAAAAACCGGGATATTTGTAGAACGAATAAAAATTACACAATCTTACTAATCTTTTTGCAAAATCCTAGATTCTGTTAGTAAAATTGTGAGTTGAAATTTGTATTAATTTATATTTATAAATATGTTAGATATTATATATATATATATATATATATATATATATATATATATATTTATAGTTATATTTTATATTTATATTTTTTATTTTTATTTATTCCATTATTTCCAAATATCCAGGCTTTTTATGGATTCCCTAGAAATTTTGCAAAAAAAAAAAAAAACGAATTACGCGAAATCCCTGCGACATATACACCTGGCTTAAACGTATAACAGAGGATCGTTTGTTAAACACGCGACAAAACTGCGAGACGCATCCACGACGTCGTCGGTCCGCGTCGACGAGGGTCGCATCGTACAGTATCTTCGTTTCACAAACGACGAATTAAAGAATCTTAAGATTACGCGAAAGGACGACGCGAGAGAAAGCCGATTGGCTGTGTGAGTCTCTGTTTCTTTTCGACACGAATTATTTGTACGGGATCTATGGGTCACGAGTTATAGCGAGGTTTTTCTTCGAACTGCTGCGTTTTCCAATGATCGGCTTTCGACGCGCTCGTCGTATAATTATCAGATCACTTTTAGATCATCGCCAAATCAGTCTCTCGCGATGCACCAGCGCGAGCTAATGTAAATACACTAAACGGATCAAGAAGAGAAGTAAGTCCCCCGATCGCTGTTCTGTAATCGAAATAAAACGATCATGGAATGTACATTTGTGTGTGCCTGCGTTGTCACGATTTATTTTTTTCTCCCCGGCCAAATCGACGAGATTCAGATATTTTCGTCGGAGAAGAAGATACAGCAGGTACGTATTGATATTTATTATCGTTTCTCGGTTGCTATTCAACATTCAAACAATTTGATGATTTTTCCATTTTGTAAACTGAGAAAACAGTCGAGAAATGTTAAGATGCATCGCGAGAATACTATTATTTCCTACATCATTTCTTCTTGTCACGAAAAATTGCAAACATTAATATACTGCCGGGAGAATTATTGATATTTCAGACTAATTAGACAAATATAATTGAGTTTAGTTTTTTAATAATAAGTTATAAAATCGTAGACAAATTAAAGTCACTAAAATTGATGCAGAAAGTAATACAAATGTATGAGAATAATACAAAACTATCGTGCAGATCTACAATGAAGTTCTCCTTTGGGACACGGTAGCATTTTTTTAAGAGCGCCTTTTAAATAAGCAAATCTTTCAAGCAAGAGTCAAGTACGGTAATAATAATAATTTGACGAATTTAATCTCCTTAGTGTGAATCCGAATAAAATTCAGTCGATGCGCGCGCACAAGAGAGAGAGAGAGAGAGAGAGAGAGAGAGAGAATAGCTAAAAAAAAAGACACTACTATGTTCGAGTTTTATAAATGTCTAACGTTTAATTTCCGTTTTTTATCTCTGCGCTATAACGTACTCGCTTCGAAGGAGCTCTGATTAAAGCCGCAACGGAAGCGAGAGCGACGGGTAGAGGTCACCGGGGAGATCGAAGAGGTCACCGCGGTGGCGGGTCTCGGAGGAAAAAGGGTCACGCAAAATGGCGCATTGGGGTTTACGAGTAATAGGCAAGGGCGGGCGCAGGTAACGGAGACGGAAGTAGAGGTGGCGAAGACGGAAGTGGAGGAGGTGGTGGCGGTGAAAGTGCCGGCGAAGGTGGAGCCCGGATCCGTATGGATCCGTCCATCCCGGGCGGATTTTCCGAGAGGGAGGGAAAGAGTTCGCAGTTCGCTGGGGATGCAGGCGGGGGATGTACCTTGAGGTGCAAGAGCGACGAAGTCGCGTGGCAAGATGGTGGACTCGGTATGCGGAACTCTTGCGCGAGGGAAAAGAGTGTGTGTCTATGGAGTCCTCACCTACTTCGTTCAAGATGGCTATATACCTATAACACATTAAATAAATGACAATGTTGTAATCGAGGGAGAAAGTGGACGAAGGGAACGCGTCGTTCCTACTGTTTACAAGCTATCGACTCTGGAGCTTGATCGGTGGTCACGTGGACGTTACAACCATTAGGAAATCAAACCGTCATTTTTATTAAAATATTATAAAGACTGCAGTTTCTACCGATCTTTCCGAAAATGTTAGATGAGCATAATTTTGAAAAACGACAGAACGATATACAGAAGAGAAATTAATTAATAAAAATCTGCGAATGGGAGTTCGTCTGTGTTATTTATAGTTGTAGGGTCGTTAGCGTTGCTTGACCATCTCTTCTAGTCGAATCGCGCGGACACACGTTGGCAGCCCAGCATTTAGGGTTGATACGCACGCGGAAGTCCAGCACCACGCGTTATCCATCGTGCATAGCCATCATTGTTTACAAAACAATCCTATAAGGCCATTTGCTATAAAGCCCAATCCCTTGCCGCGCGCCTTAATAACGTTCTTCAGCCTCATTCCAATTCTTGCTCCAGTTCTATCGTTATTTATGCAAGATTAATCTAATTTTTCGTCCTATTCGATTTGCTATTTCGATGCGATCGCTATTACGTTTCCTATTTAACACTTTTATCAGCCACTCCCAGTTACCTCCACATATACCTATCTATCTACGAGCGCGTTCTGGAGAAAGTAAACTGCAGAAACCCGGCTGGCTAGTGCGGATTCACCATCATCGGTAAGAGGCAGTCGATGAAGGAAAATGTCGGGGCCGCTCTCCGAGGTGGAGGTAAACGGTGGTGGTGGGAACGGAAAAATGGGAAAGAAAGAGAGACAGAGAGAGAGAGAGAGAGAGAGGAGCATGATTGTGGAAAAGGTTTTCCTGGAAACCCGGGCCGGGCGACATACCTCCCGCGAAAGGTGGGCTCGTAGGTGGAGGCGATGAAAGCTCCGCCTCTCCCTCCATCGCGTCCGCGACGCATTTTCCTACTTACGCGCGAGTTCACGCGCGCGAGAAGCTCGCGCCCCGAAGCTCGTCCGCCCGCACTGCCCGCAGTCAATCCCGCGGAACGCTGCGAAAGACGTCTCTGCCCTTCTCCCCCTTCCTGTTTCCCCCCTCTCCCCCTTCCGAGTCATTGAACTCTATTCCATTCTGCTGCATAGAAATGAAAACGCTCGACAGCGTTAGCGTCGAATTGTCGGCGATACTTTGTTGTGGATGGCGGAGGGTAATGTTGTAGATATAGACCCATGGGAGAAGCGCGGAGATAAAACGTAGGCGATCTTAATAGCGGCGGATAAGGGACGCATGCAAAACGCAGACAATAAGCTTTGAAAGATGTTTTAGAAAGAGAAATTGGCGTTTTAAATTTCTTATATATAGCGATATCTATTGGAGATTTATATATTTTTTGACGTCGCGATGAGAAATTTATAGATTTATTATTATATTTGGATATGTTGTGTGATGCTGCGAATTCTTATTCATTTCAATAATATCAAGCAGAGTTGTATTAAAATTAAATATATTCTTTTTCGATTTTCTTAAATGATACTTTTATAGTCTTCTAACGTCGCGTCGCTCAATAATTCAGATTTTGTTATAGAGAATAGACTCTTGAATTAATTAAGGGATACAATAGAAGAAGAATAGTTTCTTATGATTTCATTCTTTGAAAGGGTTCATGCCACTTGCGCAACGGAATATCTATTGTCGATTGGCAAACGAATCTAGATACATCATACGGCGTTATTTATTTGACGCATATTAATATAATTTTAAAGTTATCATCTATTTTTTGATAACCGCAGTTTGTGATAGCGAAAATTCACAATGACAATTACATAATTGAGTCTTTTGACGAAACGGTTGGGCAAATTGCCAGTTAGACTTTAGCAATATTTCAAAAGCAAACGTCTTTCACAATTTAGCTGATCGCTGAATTATGATCGACGATTGTAACGATGGACCAGTGGCCAAAGAGACGACACCCCGGCTCCAGATTCCAAGGCCACACGCGGCCGCACGTGGCGGCCGCTCGCGAGCGTCTGGCACGATCCGCGGGTTCCGTCGGTCCCGGCGGAGGCTGTACGCCGTCGCGCGGCGGGGGCGTGTTTCTCGCTCGGCGAACCCCGCGAGTGGAAGGGATGATGGGGCTTCGCACACGGCGCAAGTCGGCCACCGGTCCTCGACGCCTGCGGACTCGATTCGCACCGCGCGTCGCCGCCCCTTTTCGCCGAAGGGGGGGACAGGCCGCGTCTGAGAGGTCCTCCCGTTCCCCGCCGCTCGTCCCCTCGTCCTGCGGCACCTTCGCGGGCGTCGCCGCGAAAGCCAGGGAGAGAGAGGACCAGGTGCGCAATCCTCGCGGCCGTCTTCCACGCGTCGTTTCTTCTCGTCGCCCCCTCACCCTCCCTCCAGCCCCCCTCAACATCGCTCTCCCTTCCAATCGCACTCTGCTTTTTTGAGCCGCTCTCTGCATCTTCGTCTGCGAATTTCTCTCTCTCCCGAGAGAGAGAAAGAGAGAGCAAGAACACGCGCACGCAAATTGAGAGCGAGAAAGGTGCGGCGGACCGAATATTTTCACACGCGCTTCGTGAAGGTTTGCCAAATTCGATTTCTGCTTGTGTAAGATTAATTGGAGTCGATAAGGGACGGCGAGTGGTGAGACGATAACCACGTGCACCTACGAGTTAACAGCCAAAAAAGTATATGCTGGTTAAATTGTTAATAATAAAAAAAGAGATCAGATATCAAGAATTAAATCGTTTACATGAATCTTGCTCCAATCTTTTCAATGCTTAAAAGATTAATAATTGTCATAACGATATAGTTATGTTTGTAAATGTTACATTACAAAAATTCGTAATTTTCATAATCAATTTTTGCTATTAAATTCAAACCCAGATAGCACAGCTGATCTTTATGAATTCAAAAAGATCTGAATCTGATCTTTATGAATTCATAAAGATCAACTGTGCTATCTGGGAAGCTATGACAGTGATACAAAGCTTTTAAAAAATGTTATACCATAATTACCTAGCAAGGAAAAATATTCGTATTTAAAATTTTAATGTTTTTATAGATGAAAAAACATGTATGAAATGTTTCTAATAAATAAATATTAAAGTATTTATGAGACAAGTCTTAGAATCTGCTCTTAAGCGTTGTTACGGTCGTTATGAGCACCCTGTATACATACATATACATATATATATATACTTATATATATATATATTATGTCTAAAAATAAAATTATATCTAAATGAAAATTCGTTTATATTAATATCGATAACAGTTGGAAAAATCGTTTTTGTTCCCCATTTAGATAAATGAAAGAATTTCGTGATTTGCGTAATAATTTATTAAATAAAGTTACGTCAAAATTTTATATTTACTTCAAAAAAGTGATCGCACTATTTTACATTGTTCTTTTGCGATTAATTGTCTTAAAAATAACCGCGCGATAGTAGAAATTTAATCATTTATATCGAGGCTCGAACAAGCTTCATATCGAGATTGCACGCGAGATCTGAAATAATATTTCATTGATCAAGATAGATAAGAAAGGTGTGCACAATTACTTATCGATGGAAATATCGCGGGTAAGTAACAAATTAATGTTGTGAATACGACGTGCAGCTGTAGCTTTATTATTCATGATCTACAATCTACAAATACGATACGAGACGACAAGTTACCTGGTGTGGTGAACTTCCTGTTGTATGCAAATGCATTTGGCAGGAGCTGCCGCGAATGCTCCGGCAATTAATTTTCGAAATAATCGCCGACAATTACATCAGCTGTCATCGCACTTGCAAACGAAAAGGCTGCTTTTTTATTTTTTATTTTTTTTTTTAAATACGTGATATAAGTTATTCACTGGAAACACGACTATTAAGTTGGCAATTATATTTATCTGGCCATGGTTATTTCGTCTTGTTATCTTGACGCGCGATCTATTCATAAGAAACAAAGGCAAAAAGCAAAAAGTGCAAAGTGGGCTTAAATGCATGAGAAAGAGTTGAAATAATGTAATATTAATGAGAAACGGTACTGTGCGACGTAACATCAAGAACGACCTACTGATGACGACGATGATAAAAATGTTTGACGACGATATCTTAAATAATATTATCATACTTCTTTCTCCAATTATTTTTCGTCATCAAAATTGTTTTCTCTTTATATCTCGTAACTTTCGAAAGTTATATTGAACTAAACAATATAAATCACAAAGTTGAATTGGCGCAACTAGCTCTTGCTTTTCTAATAAAACTGCTTTTCTAATTTTTTCTATTAGCTACTGCGCAATTAATAAAGTGAAATTGCATTCTCTTTTTGAAAATAAACTTTGAAAAAATCAACTTGAATTATCTATAAACTTTTTCAAATTTTTGTTTTTTGCTTCTGAAATATGTTTCCTATCTACTCCGAAATGTATTCTTTCTCTCAATCTCTCCTTCAATTATTCAAACAATAACATATGCATTGCACGCTTATTATCACGTAGACAAGAAACATGCTTCGGTTCCTCATAAGGATAAGATGGTAAACGAAAAGTCCATATAATAAATATATTATTTATTTAATTTCTATATTATTATTATTATTATAATCAGTTGCAATATATTTAATCTATATTTACAAAGAAATGACCGAAACTGTCTCTCGTCGATTTTGAAGGGCTTTGGACGTATTTTAGAACAGCTAAAAATAAGAGACAATATCTTTTATATATGCTTTTTCGTACATTTTAGACATTGAAACAACTCTTCGAAGTTATATTTCTTAATTTCAATCGAATATTAATTGAAATTGTACAATATATGAAAAAATTTTTCTAGAAAAAATATATTTTACGTATTTCGTAATATGTATTTAGATATTTTGAACATATATTTCTTAATATACCTTCCGCTGCATTATTATTGCAATTGAGATCGAACCATTGAGTACTATTGTTTTAACCTTCAAACATGTAAAAAAACATATATAAAAATATAGGTTTCTTTTATTTTTATGCTGTTTTATGATATATCCAAAGCCCATCTCAAAATCGATGAGGGACAGTTCCGACTATTTCCCTGCTCAATAACCGATAATATGTAACATAATGTAATCAGAATCTGACTTGAGTGAGACATGACAGCGTCTTTATCTGTGTCTTTGTGTACGATACTGCATGTACATGTGTGATTCTGTCGAATATATCTCTGTAAATGTACTTACATCGAATCAAAGGCACAATTGGTATTTTTGAACAAACAGCAAGTAATTGACCTACGTATTCCTCTGTATCGTGTATTTTAATCTCTCGTCACTTCTAATCGCGACTGTATAATCTTTTAGATTTAACAAAAATCATCAATTCTAAGATGTTCAAATTGTCTCCAGGACTTTGGAAGAATGAGTGAATGGAACTATGTCGACGAGAAGTGACATCGCAATTTTATCGTCAGTGTCATAGTTGTCTTCTTTATACGACTGCTATTCTAGAAATCGAGATAACGTGCGTCGTTTCGACGTAGGCCGGATCGTTTTTAGATATATTTTTCGCCAACGGTTAATATCGAGTGAGTTTACTGCTCGAAAATCTAGATTGGCACTTAATTCGTTTCTATATTCGGCGAAATTGGATGTAAACCTTAAGGACCCGTGTAGTTTACAACGAAACGACGCATGGCTCTATTTTATTGACCGTCGTGGCGATGTCAGACGCGTTGCGGGTCTAGTCTGGATGCTGGTTCGGCTTAAACTTCAACTTTGTAGGGTGAACCTGGAATGTGATCGTCGCCCCATTTGACGATCACGATATACTCGCCCCGTTCGCGCACTAGGTAACTCACGTTGTAATTGTTGCGGCCCGCGTGCTTCACGTAGACTTCGTCGCACGGCCCTTTGGGCCCGTATACGCCCACATAAAGAATATTGTTACCTGCAATTACGGTATTGATCAGCAATTTAGATTTACAACAATATCGAAATATTATAGACAGTACAATGTAATCGGCAGACTATCTTAGTTGCTCAGTTGCAGAAGGAAGATTTTTAATCCTAGCTCGCCACATTCCGGTCCAGAATAGACCGTTGAATGTTTTTTTGTTTTCTTTTTTTTATAATAAGTTCAATTTAAACCTTAAATCATTTTCTTGACCTGATATTATCACAAACATCCTATTCAGATTCTGTATTTCTATTCCTATATTACAAGCTTAAAAATATTAGGTAATTAAGCTGAAAATGACAATGCGACAAAGTCGAGCAGTCTCACGGACCGAAGTGTGGCGAATTAAAGACTCGAAAATAAGTGTGACTAGTTAGGATTTAAAGGATTGTGATAGCAATCACATACCGGCATCCCCCGCGTTCACAGTGAATTGATTTTGCTTTCCTAGGTAAGCTTTCTTGAGACCCATGCCTTTACTCGTCACCTTGCCCGCGTCAGACTTGAACAATGGCAATACTGGTCCAGTCTGCTTGCTTTTCGATATCTTTTGCACGGTCTCGACGACGATTGAGCTTGTCTCTTGTGCACCTCTCTCCGCCAAATCCGCGCCTAGAATAGACAGTATATACTTTCTCCAATGTCGTTTTCTGTTAAAATAACTTATAAATTATTGTAATTATTAGATTAATGTTAGAATAATTTATAAATCATGTATATACATTAAGGTTCCTGGCCTCTTTCCCGACATCTCGTGAGATGTGACGTCAGAAGCGAAAAATGTTGAGAATTGACACGTTGAGAATTCTTGCATGGCATTTCCAAATAAAAAGGTATTTGCATAAAATAACACTTCAGATCACTTCAGCACACTTCAAAAATACTCCGTGTTTAGGTTAGGTCTACCCCTTTCCTTTGAGTTAATAAAAAGCCGTAAAATGAATGTAATAACGAATCCTTGTCATATATATGCTTCTGCGCATAAGCCCGCATCGTATCACATTTCTTTTAGGGATATGTTGAGATGTTTAATAACTGTCAAGGGAAAGGGATTTCAACTCGGAGTATTTTTGAAATGTGCTAAAGTGATCTGTAGTGTTATTTTAAGTAAATATCTTTTTATTTGGAAATACCATGCAAGAATTTTCAACGTGTCATTTCTCGCTTCTGACGTCATATTCCAACATGGCCGCGACAAGTACCCAGAAGCCTTAAATATGTTATAAAGAATACCCACCTGTACAAGAAACCTTGTATGGTGAACCCACGATGTGATAGCCGTTGTACTTGATGCTGATATAGTAATCGCCTGGTACCAAAGGTGTGTATCTGACCTTGTAGCCCTCTTCGACCTCGGTGCAATCCATGGCGACCTTGCTGGGTCCATCTACAGTGACTCCCAACGCTCCGCTACCGGCGTTGCACGTGTCGATGATGAAGTCTGTCTTCTGACCGGTCTTGATCTCCTTCAGGCCGTTGCCGTAGGCGTGCAACGCTGCCGGGTCGGCGTCCACTTTCCCAACTTTGACGCGATACGGACTGCCTGGTATGTGCACCCCGTTGAATTTGATGTGGATCAGGTGGATGCCGTTGTCCGTCGGCATGAACCTCACCGAATACGTGTCTCCATCGATATTCTGAATGAAGCAATCGTCCTGGATGCCGCTCGGAGACACGATCTAAAAGAATAACGGATAGATTAGTATACGACTCGGCAAATCAGCTCTTATTAGAAATCTCTCAGCTAAAGTATCTGATGGCATCATATTGCCTTAAAAAGTATAAAGATAAGAATATTGAATTTTAAGTTTCTGGGGGAATTATTTTGTCATTATAAAAAGAGAGGTGTAATTTTATACCAGGTCCTTTTTTTCTTCTTAATATCTAAGAAGTATATTTTCCTTTCTCAACTTGCGCTTTCTTTCTTTTTAATAGGTATTCACCGATGGTGAATACCAGAAATATATTTTTGGCAATTATGCATGTTAGTTACGACCTCATAAATTTCAACGACCTTGACATATATTGTCAAGAACCTCGTTTTGCCTTGTAAACAGGGGATGGGGTGGGGTGGATCTCGTTTCACGTGAAAAATTAGAAACACATGTGGAATCTTTTCATATTAAAAATAATCGCTATATATTTTGAATAAAATAACGAGCGACGGCTTTTGAAAACCTTTTGAAAGCTACTCAGGGTCGTGTCCTTGACAATATATGTCATTATGTCAAGGTCATTGATATCGGTGAAGTCATAACTAACATGCATAATTACCATATTTTCTTTTCTTTTTTTCTGTAAGTTTTATGCTGTTCATAAATGTGAAGTTTCCTCTCGATATTGCATAATTTCAAATTAAGAATTTTACGATACTTGGCGTCTGAAGGATAAATACTACATGGTATCACACAACTTAGTGTTTTTTAAGTGGAATCGTCGAGCCGTAAAGAGCCGAGATTGAAGGAAATAAAACATCGCGACTGTCAAGCGAGCGCGACCACTAAGAGGAGCCGTTACGAGGATGACGGAGATGCTACCACTTTGTGTCGAAATCCTCCATGACTCATCTAGCTATGTGCATATGGCGAACAGTAAAAATACGTTCGCGGTCCCACCTACGCGGTCTGTTGCGACGACGGCGTTTCACACGCGCGCGAGTTATTTACGGCGCTCCTCCTCTCTTTCGCAAGGAGATGTGTCGCGGTGTGAGTTGGACTCGCGAGAATGTTACAGCCCCTCCGAGTCTTTGCGCTACCGACAAGGGAAAGGGCAGCTTTATACCTTCGCGTCCAGTTCACCCTTGGCGCCGTTCTTGCGCACCAGGAAGGTGCACGGCTTGTCAGGCTGCACTCCGCTCTCGGGGAATTGCGCGACCTCGAGTTTGTGCGCGTCGCCCATCGCCGGCGAGATGTAGACCTTATGCGGCGAGTCCGGGATGTGTTGATCGTTGAACTTGATTCCCACCCTGTATTCGCCTGGAAAGTAAGCACGACGATACGTAAATAAGTGAATTAAATAATGTAGACTTGCTCATCGCTTGTATGGAGGTTTTTTTTTTAATAATAAAATTGTGATTTCTAACGTTTATCGAGAAAAGAAAAAATATATTAAATATATTTTCTCGAAAAAAAAATCGATCTTTTTTCATAAAGATTATTCAAATAAAAATTATAACTTTTAAATGAAATAATAATCTTTGGGACAAAATAGTTTACAGCATATAATATAATTTCTAAAAAACTGAGATATGTATACCTATTAGGATATATGTTGTAGATTGTTATTTCACAATTAATATTTACATGGCTCGAAAATATTTACAGGATAGCTATATCGCGCGTTTTCTGCTTAACGGATCAGTAGGAAAGTTCGCGAGGATATCCGCCCAAGGATCGAACTAACCATCGCCTTCCTGAGATTCCTGCGGCTCGTTTCCGGTCAGGACGATCTGCGTAGTGGCTGTGAAGGTAGCCATCGACCCTTATACGACACGAGTTTCGCCGGAAGTGAAAGTCCAACGTTAAAGAAACGGGAGGAGCTTTTTGAGCGAGATGAACAAGAAGGAAATCGGGGGAAGTAGCTAGGAAGGATCCGGATCGAGAAGGGGGAAACGGGAAGCGTGAGAGGACTGAGGAAAAAAAAAAAAGAGCAAAGAGGAAGTAAAAGGGTGGAGAGAAGAGAGGAAAGAGACGGAACGATCGCAGCTGTAACCGAAGGTTGGTCGCGTACCACTACTTTTCCTCGGGTCGATCCTGATCTCGATTCGTCGGCGAGCTTTCTCCCCCCCCCCCCCTCGTTCACTTCACCGCATCCCCGCGTTTCTGTTTTGCTCGCGCCCCCATGCCCTCGTCGATCATCCCCACCGTGTCCGCAGTCCGCTCCCACGGGGCCCAAATATAACCATCGCGTGCTAATCCGCGTCCAGCCGCGAGTAGCCAACTGCGGGGCCAAAATATGGATCCACCTTAACAAATATAGACGGCGATATTTCGGGAATCGAAGAGAGAGAGAGAGAGAGAGGGGGGGGGCGAGAGAGCTGGACGATCAACAGGGCAGAAAAGAGGGGTGGACGGATGGGTGACGACGGATCAACGAGCAGTTGAGCCGGATTCATTAACACTTTGTGAATAATCGATGTTGAGCTACGTTCGCGGCTACGGTGCGCACGTAAACTCAATCGTGCGTGAATATGTGACAGATCATCAATGGAGCTGTTTCAATGCTTACTTAAAGGAATTTAAATTTTTGAAAACTTCCAAACGCAGAGTCCATTGCATTAATCTAGTCTATCAAGTCACTTATAGTATACTGTGCTTATGGTACATAAAAGAATAAATTATATTTGAAACAAAAGAAGATATTTCTTTTCCTTCAATTATTATATGTACTATCGGTTATTTTTAAGGAAAAAGATAGTTAAAGAGAGTATCGAGTCTCATAGAAAATTTCAGAGATAGATTTAGTAGACTCGGTAGCATGCTGTTTTCATCGAGATCATAGAATTGTCGAATGTGGAGTGACGTTTCGCTTTATCTAGGAGGCATTCAAGTATTTAACTGCGCGATCAAATTCGCGCGTATTAAACCCAATGCGCGTCCACGTCACGGGTGATTTAGCACGCGCGGATATCGCCGGCGATCCATAAAATTTGTGCGGATAATTTTGGAACGCTCGTGAGTCACTCGGGCGACACTACGCAATCGATTATGCGTGGCGAGTAATCCATCGCGGCACAAAGTACGCGTAAACAGTCCGTCGTTTAACAGGATTGATTTAGCAAACAAATCTTAGGGACTGGCATTAGTATCTTCTCGAGGCGCAAATCGTCTTTGCATCAGTCAAACAAGAATTATACGGCGCAAGCAGAATCGATGTTGGCAAATGTCCATCTTGCCGGTATATTGTAAACTTTATGGACACCTGAAATGACGGATTAGTAATTTCTACAATGTTGCAGTTCAGAATTAGCTCTCGGATACGTGTTAACTCTTACGCGCGTGCGATGACTTTAGTTGCGCTTTTCATAGAATTTTGCAATGGCCAAAACATCCGCGTCGAGACCATAAACAAGGAAACATACTCATGACTTACCGGGTTCGTTAACGACGTAGATGACGTAACAACTGCCGTCCTTGCGATCCTTGAAATCTATCTGCGCCTTGCTGGGTCCCTCGACAGAGACGGCGAGAGTGCCCGCGCCCGCCTCCCTGGTCCAGATGTTGAACTCGCAGGGCTCGCCTTGCTCTCCCCTCTCCAGGCCGGATCCACCAGCGTGAACCCTATGGGCACCGCCGTCCCTGAGCGGGCCCACCGTGAACTGGAAAGGTGAGCCGGGGATGTGCATGGACTTGTAACGTACAGACACCGTGTGCACGCCCAGCTCCTTAGGCACGAACGCCACCGCGTAGATGCCGTCCTCGGCCTCCTTGATCTCGGCGTCCTCGGTGACGCCGCCGGGTGACGTGACGGTGGCGGCGAGGTCGAAGGACGTGATACTGGGTATCTTGAAGGTCAGCTTGCACTGGCTACCGACCTCGGTGATCGGCACGGCCTCCCGTTGCCTCTGGATCTTCTCCCTTTGTCGGTTGCTGCCTTCTCCGCTGACCTTGACGGTGAACGGCGAGCCCTCGACGTGGTGGTCCGCGAACTTGAGATTCATGATGTAGTAGCCGGGCTCGGTGGGCTTGTAGGAGATGTTTAGGGTGCCGTCCTCATTGTCCTTGCACTGGATCTCGGCCTTGCTCGGGCCCTCCATCGAGAGGGAGAGACCACCGAAGCCGGCGTTCCTCGTGTCGATCGAGAAGTTGTTCTCCACGTGAGTCTTGCCCTCCTTCAGACCGGGACCGGAGACTTTGACCTTCTTCGCGTCACCAACCTCGCGGTCCTTCACGTCGATCTTGAAGGGGGAATTCGGTATGTGCTTGCCCATTCTCTTCACGCCCACGGTGTGCTCGCCCGCTTCGCGCGGCGTAAACGACACGCACATGTTGCCGCTGCCCGGCATCTTCTTCAGGAAACACGGCTCCTCTAGGCCGCTGGGTGCCGTAATGGACGCATTTAGGGACTTGATGTCGGCGTCGGATACCTTACCCGGCAGCTGCACTTCGCTGGAAGAACCTACGGAGATCTGATTCCTCTTGCGGCCCTCGCCTAGAAATGACGACGTTTAATATTCTTCATTATAAAAAAAACGAGATACTTGGAGTAACATGTATTAAAAATTGAGTTCTCATTGTCAAAACACAATAATTTTTTATCTGACAGCCTGATCCCACAATTTGGTATTGATAAAACATACTTCGGAATAAATCGCAATGCCAAAATAATCCTGATGCACTCACCCGTGATTTTGGCGACAAAAGGACTGCCCTTGATATGCTTGTCACCAAACTTAACGGTAATCTTGTATTCTCCGGGCGCGGTGGGTAGGTAGGACACCGACACCGTGCCATCCTTGTTGTCGTGGCAGCTTATTTCGGCCTTGCTGGGCCCTTCGACCGCCAGCGAGAGACCACCCGCGCCGGCGCCTTTCGTTGAGATAGTGAAGTTTCCAGGTTCGCCGCAAACGCCGTAGACCAAACCTGGCCCATACGCTGTTACGTATCCACTCGCCAAGGAATCGACATGGAATTTAAAGGGAGACCCTAGCAACAAAATCGTATATTAATATAAAACACAGAATACTTTTTACGTAGATAATTGTATAGTTTTATTGTAAAAATTTTATATTTATATAATTACTCGCGGAATTATAATTTCAAACCAAGTATCGATGTATATATAACATGCACGAGTTATTATAATAATAAATACTGTATTAAAAAATATTTTTTCTATTTGAGAGAGAGAGAGAGGGAGAGACAAGGTAATTGGGAAATATTATACTTAATGATGGTCGCGTGAAGTAAATTAATTTGTCAGACGAAGAAATTTATTATTAGCACAAATTGGCGCTCGCGAGATCCATTACACGGGGAATGAAATTTCATATAGCCTCTGTGTTTCAGGATCGTACGGATCGTACACGCGCATCGTACATTAGCGCGGTTTATTCTTAGATGCTATGTGAATCTTCGTATGATCGATCGCGCCTCTCACGGATTGCGTAATCGCCGTTAATTTGCAAGATGAATGGATTTAACTTACCCTGGACGTGTTCGCCGTTGAATTTCACATAAATCTCATGGAGGCCCTCCTCCCTCGGCTCGTACTTGATGGATACCGTGCCATCGTGATTGTCCTCGATAACCGGCTTGTCCACGTTTCCGCTAGGCATCTTCACTTCGGCTGAAAACGAGTAGAGTGGCGTTCATCAGGCACGCCCCCAAGGACATCCGCGCGACATAGTTCCCTCGAGTGCGCCGCGATTGGTTGGCACTGGCGTATAAAATTGTAGCTTTCGCACCCAAACAAGATTTCATATCAAAAATAACTGCTTAACGTTTGTGTTTGTCATGCTCACCGTTTTCATATTCAAAGATACACATAAATAATATTCCTCAGAAATAGAAAGTCATATTTCTTGCCTCTCTCTCTAACATGTCCCTAATAATTAGGTTGAATCCGGTTGGTATTTACACTTTAAAACGTATGTCTAAAAAATTTGCAAAATCTTAAAATAAGATAAAAATAATAAGCTGAAATATTTTTCGGTCAGAGATGCGTATTAGAAAAAAGTTGCGTAACGGAACGTTGTGCAGATTTTTCACTAACAATAAGTATTTAATTTTTAATAAGTGTTCACAAATTCGTGGTAGACAATACAAATTAATTTTTCAGTTTATACAATTACGAAATCTGATGAATTATAAACTGTTTCAAATATCGCTTGCCGTTTGAAATTAGTTGAGGATGAATTGAAAGGTCTCTTAAAGGCAAAACCTTTTTTCGTGTCGACGTAGAAGATACTCTGGAAGATGAGCGGCGCGAAATCGAGTCCAGGTCCTAGAACCTCCTGCTGGACCGCGCTTTTAGCGTAGCAGACCGGTCCGCGCTCGGCGTGATTGTGTTCGCTGACGAACACGCTCTTCAACCAAGCTCTATAGAAGGTCGATACCTCCTGCCACGTGGCTGGTATTTCCGTTAGCTCCTCGCCCCAAATCATCTCCAACGAGTACACTTCAAGATCTCCGTCGACGTTGACGCACTTGACAAACTATTATCGTGACTTGCGATCGTAGGATCGCACCGATTCTATTCCGAGTTCACCGCAAAGATTCAGATATTCAGAATAATCGCGATTTGTCAAACGAGAGAAAAAATTATATATTTATATTGCCAGGAGAATTAATAACATTTTTTATTTCTGTGATTATTAGCGAGACATTCATTTTGCGCGGGGTAGCTTATTTTAATTAAAAACGGTTTTACTTTTTTTATTTCTCCTCGCAGACAGACCCTATCTTTATCTTACGCAGAGAGAATCAAGTTTAAAAAAAAATCTTACATCACTTCTAAATATCGGCTGAGATGATTCGATATAAGTGAAAGAATACGTGCGGAAAGGCGACACCCCGGGGATAAGATATCCCCCGAATAGATTGACGTTGATAAATCTTCTCCGAGTATCGGAACGCCCACGCTAAAAAAAAATTCGAGAATCTCCGGGTTCCGCGGGGTAACCGACTTAAGGGGAGACCGACTGACCCACCCACCGACCCACCCACTAACGGACACACCGACTGACTGACCGAAACGGTAACAATGTCTCCCGGCGTTCTCCAGGTGATCTCGTTCGCGAGGTCTCCAGCCTGATGGCGCCTGTCAGTCGACCTCACGTAGGCGCATCTCCGGCACGACTGGCGATCGTGGTGGTTGCACAAGCACCAAAGTCGGTCGGCGGCGAGGACGATGAGCTGGCCGTCGATCTGGCTGGGTGATTTTTTTTCCAGCGTTAGCTACCGTGTCGCCTGCCACCGCTGCCACGTTTGCCAGTCTGCCTCGTCTATCAGACATCCTCGTCCCTCTCTTTCTCTCTCTCTTCAACGATCTCTCTCTCTCTCTCTCTCTCTCTTTCTCTCTCTGATTTCGTCTCTCTTTACGAAGAGGTCTATCCCTTCTATCGGCCGCGCCACACGAGGATCACACGTACGCAGGAATATTACCAACAGCGACGAACACACACGTATCCGTGCACGCATACACAATTGGGATAAACCTATGGAAGTATACGCACGCGCTAATCCGAGAGGATTCCACGGCTGGGTGGGAGGAAGCGGATGGTCGACGTCGCGGCGCCTGCACCTGGTGCGCGAAAATTTATGACACAGGTATATCGATGTGTGAAGATGCATTTTATATGCATGCATATATATAACGTTGCGCGCCATGCATGTGTGGTAAAGCGCAGTTCGCCGAATCGTGGATGGATCGGTTACATAGGCTGGGTTACGTGATGGGATCAACGCTGGACGAGGTCCGCGCTGATCGGGGTAAATTGGGAACGCGACGACGACGCGACCATCATTAAGCGCGGTGCATGTGATGACGTTATTGCCAGGTGCTCGGCATATTGCTTTTGATTGCTAAAGAAGAAGGATCGAGGTTGTCTTTGGAACGTGATACTTCTCGTGACGAGGACCAAATTAATAAACTACTATTATTATAACCCGACGAGAAACGTCTTACTCTTGAAAATGTCTTCTCTCTTCAAGTCAAAGTTTTTGAGAAATTTGGCAAATATATTTTTCAATGCATCACGAGAATAAGAAAAGATTTCTTTAACTCGTTAGAAAATTAGCAGTTACACTTTATATCTCGTTTTAACCCTTTGTTGCGCAAATTTTTCTGTTGAACATATTTTGTTAAATTTTCGTATTATGTGGGTTTTTGGGGATTTACAATCCTAATTGCAAATCTGAAATCAAAATTTATTAAATTAAAATGGCGGATTTAATATGGCAGCCAAATTGAAAGAAAATTAACTTTGGCTTATTTACGTATAAAATTTTTTATATACGCAAGAGTTTTTTAGGCTTCGGATTTACAATAAAAATTTGCAAGTGTCAAATTCCGATTGTAATAAAATTTTATTTTAGAAGTGATAGATAAATTTAGATCAAAAAATAATTACACTACCGCTCAAAAATTTATATGTTATTCATGTACACATACAAATCTAAGGAACATAACGATATCAAATGTTACATAAACCAATTATGAAATATGTAAAACCATAGAAGAATTGCGAAGAAATAGGTATTCCCATATAGGGACACAAAGGGTGCAACAAAGGGTTAACAATGCAATAATAATATAATGACCTATTTTTGGTTCAAATAAACTTGAAGTAAAAAAGGAAAAAGTCGTAAAAAAATATTCTGTAAAGCATTCTTAAAATAATTTTGCATATCTTCCCCCGATTCTTTTGCATTCTTTCGTTCTCATCTCTTTACGGGGGGTTACGTAAATTGTTATCACATGGAAGAATCCTATTCTGATCCAACAAAATTATTTTCAGATCTGTATCTAGCGAAATTTTTGGATACTTCAGCAAAACCGTTCTTTCCGCGTAGAATTCTCAAGATAGACAAGACGGCACAATTTTGGCGCGTAACATCCTGGCTACGCTTCCGTGATCGCTGTTTCATTTACTATGAAGAAAGTCATCAAGCCAGCGAATCGGTTTCGCGCGCGTCGCGGCATTTAACACGCGCCACAGCCGTTATGATGAAGAGAAGCGGGTGTCGGCCGGGGTTTGACTAATTGCGAACAACAAGCGTGATACGTTGAAACGTCTACCGTGCACAACATTATTCGCGCGCGTGCATCGTCGCGCGTCAAAAGTTGCCGGAGCTACCAGCGTAATCCGCCAGAAAATCACTGATCTGATTCAAAGTGATCTTTCATTCGAATGACTTCCGCGTCCCTACTTCCCGTATCCCTGAACTCGGGTAATATTAACGTCACGAAATAAAAGTAACATTATTTAGCTAGCTGGAAGCGGAAGAATGTTTGCACGAGATTGCAGCGGGCTTCCAGCAATGCAACAAGATGCTGATCTCTTGGCAAGTGGTGCGAACCACCGTCCGGAATCGAATCGCGCCACGGGTTCGTCGACCGGAAAATCGCTCCAGTTGATCTTCGCATGCCGGCGCATGAGGGAACCTGGACCGGTGGATGATGAAGAAGCAGACCGTGGATGTGGAAGGGATCGGGGTCTTTTTCTGGACCCCGCGCTATCGTCCTCCTCGGCCGCTCGGAGAATCTCGAGGCTCGGCTTTGGACCAACCGCAACAGCGCGACTACGGTGTATCCGGAGTCACTTAATCACCCAATATTAATATCGCGGACAGTGCGTCGCGTTTACCCGACATATATATACATCGTCCTTCCACGCCGGCTTGTCCAGGCTCGCCATATTTTTGGCAAGAAGGTATAGTGGATAAAGCGCGAATACGACGAATCCGTCATGTCTGTCATTTGACGCTTTCTGAACGCGCATTGGTCAACCGCGAAACATTACGTATAATTGAATCGCATTTACGCGTCGTCGCACGTTTATTTATCAAAGTAAGGGCCAAAGCACATAACATGGCGTAGCGATATACGACGGTCGTAGACCCCGACCTGACAGATCAGGATACGCCAAAGCTTGTGCGTTACTTACGTCCACGACTACGACTGTCATATGTGCTTTGGCCCTAAGTTCGTCCATCAAGATAGGAGACTCTTTCGTTTATCTTATAACGTTGCTCAGTAACAGAAGCTTACCGTTGTTCCCTATTCCTTTGACGTTTAGCTATTTACTTAGCCAAGAAATTTATTTTACATATTAGAGAATATTTATTTAATTAAATACTATTAGCTCTTATTAATTAATTTATTAATGATTAATTAAAGTCCAATTAATAATTAGTATTTTTTTCGAAATAATTCTCTATATATTTTTATTTATCTAATAACGACAATTAGAGCATATTACGCTGAAGTTCTTAATTTAATTTTCGAAGTGTTAAACGAGACAGCATTGCCGATCATTAATCAACTCAATTCATCAACTCATCAAGTACAGCAAGTACGAGTAGTTAAATGCGGCATCGGTGCGCACGCATGATTAATGACGGATATATCCTTCGTCGTAATGTTAAGTATAAAGCGTTTAGGAATAATATATATATCCATTAATTGCCGCAAAAAGGAAGGAGAGGGGGAAGAAAGTTTCATCTCCATACGAAAATTTAAGAGCGCGTAAATCCGGTGTAGTAAACGCGCCGAATCCGTCTCTATGCGAGAATTCGGCAGAAGAATTCGCATCGTAAGGTCTCTCGACAGAGCAACGTGGCACGTTGCGCAGTAAAGTTCAAGATTTATTTCCGCGCGGCGAATGGGTTCCAGCCGAGATGTGTGTTTAACTATTGCTAGTTAAACTAATAATAGAAAATAGACTAAATAAACTAACTGCTGTGAAATAGTATATTGTGCACCAAGGGGCAAAAGTAGCGTTTTTCAGACGAGTATGAAGTTTGCCGCCCGAGCCGAAGGCTCGAGCGGCAAATCACACGAGTCTGAAAAAGCTTTCGACTCGAAATGCACACGATATTTTTCACAATACCTTTACGGAAAGTTTTCCATGCCTTGAGAGAGGCGAGTGACCAAATTCACGCCAAGGCTTATTTTCTTCCCTAGGGAGAAAAGTAAGCCCTGGCGTGAAATTGGCCACTTTCGCCCCTCTCTACAGGCATGGAAAGTCGAACTTTCCGTGGAGGTGTTGTAAAAATATTATTTATACAGTTCGATCAACATTGGAAACTAGTTTGTTGTTCTATGTGCAATCAGTCGTATATTTAAAAGGACATCTTTCAGATAACTCGATTCTTCAAAAGGCAATTTTGGAGCGCGTTAAAAGATACTCATTTTTGAAAAATTATCAATAAAAAATTTTTAATCTTCTTAATCGGTTAGAAATAATAGAAATCATAATGAAATTTCTTCTCAGAATTTCCTCGCATAATTATAAATGTTGACTAAGCAGAAAAGGGAATATCAAAAAGAATACGCGATCTGGGCACGTATTATGGAACTTTTCGGAATGAATTCCGATCGGAATTATTCCGTTTTCCCTAGAAAAGACAATAGAAATCTAAGAAATAACTGAACAATTCCGATCGGAATCCATTCCGAAAAGTTTCATAATACGTGCCCGTACTGTTTCAATGAATAAGAGAATCGCGCGTCATTCAAAGTAGTGCAAGCTAATAATAAATCAGACAGTCTTGCAAATTCTGTCTCTCATCGATTGACAGCATTTTAACTAGGTTTGATTAATTAAAAAAATGTGTACTCTTACTGTAGTCATGTTCTTAAATAATATTCATAACCTTTAGGCGCAGTAGTATGAGGCAATGTTAAATCATACAGCGCGTTACGTTATTTTTTCCTAGGGCCTGAGCAGAATGGCTGACTTGTAATTTTAAGACACTATTTTATGCTTTAAATCTTTGTTTTTAGCAATGCACAATAACTGCCTTGTGTCTCAAGTCTTACAAATGTTGACACTTCGTACACTCGTTTAAGATTCGAGGCATAAGACTGCAGTATTGTGCGTTAAGGCCTGAGCAGAATGGCTGACTTAAACGAGTGTACGAAGCGTCAACATTTGTAAGACTTGAGACACAGGGCAGTTATTGTCCGTTGCTAAAAACAAAGATTTAAAGTATAAAACATTGTCTTAAAATTATAAGTTAGCCATTCTGCTCAGACTCTTACTGTGCATTGAAATTAGATTTACAAAATAATCTCCGTTTTCATGTGTGAGTGAAAAAAACATTACTAATACTTCGCACTTATGCTCTTATAAGAGAAAGCAATTTTTATATTTCTCGGTGTCCAACCAATCGTAGTGCGTGTATTCAAAACTTATATCATTATAGCAACTAGTACCTTTTAAACAAATTTTGAAATAATGAGTAAAGCAACGTTTGAAAAATATAGACGAAGATTTTGAGAATTCTCGAAATACCAGCGAAAGATATGTTACTTACAAGTAACTGTGCCACCGCTCGCGAGAGGTAGTGGGATGGAGTTCAATCGGATAACGTTGAAATTCTTTTTCGATAGCTCCTGCTGGCTGCTACGCTTTGTGGTGACGGTGGAGCTCTCCTGTAGGGTTGTGCTGCGCTGCTCGACAACGTGCTGATTTTGCCTCTGCTGTGTTTTGCGAGCCCGTTGAGTTTTGTGCGTGCTATGTTCCCGATACTCCTCGGATGCCTGGAAATTGTCGTTGAAATTGAAAAACCAGTTAACAACACTTTATTATAGACTACAGATATACTGCAAAGTGTGTTATTTTTACACGTATAAATGTTTAAAAATGACACATTGGAAGATCGAACTTCTACTAACATGATAAGAAAAACAAACATCGCGACGACGATCGTCAATAAACAGCAACTAGCTCAAAATGTTATCTGGTAAACTCGATATATTGGTGGCGATCGTGGCGCAGAAAGATGTGCGCTGGTCTAACGAGCCGAAGATCCGAGTTCAAATCCGACCAAAAATTGTCGGTTTTTATTTGATCGCCACCTCTCGGAAGGGTTAATGGCAACCCACTGAGAGTGTATCTCTAAGAAACCAGAAGGAAGGCCTCGGATTTAATAAAGGCCGAACTTCGTTCCATGGCTCGATCTTGAGCTGTAGTTAGCCGTTGAAGAAGAAGAGAAATTCGATTAATTTCTCGAAAAAAGAAGAAGGTAACTTCTCTATGACTAAATAATGACTAAAAAATTGAGTCAATCTGACAATGTTTAGAGAAACGTGATTACAAAATTAAACTGAATAGAATAGTCATGTACCATTTCGCAAAATTCGCAATAGTTGTTGATGAGCGAATGAGCGCACACTGCAAATCCAAGTGTGTTATTTTTGCACGCATAAACGTTTAAAATGACACATTTGACTGAAGTTTTTTTTTACATATTTCTTGCGTATTAAAATACGTCATTTAACACGTTCATTCGTATTAAATTACAAGTTAATACATTTAATCGTATATTAAATGACGTGATTTAAAACGGAAATAAATGTGTACGAAAAGGTTCAGCTGAAATAACACACTTGGACTTGCAGTGTAATTATAAACTTTTGAAGAAACAATTTACTGTACAATAATTGACATTAAATGCACTCCAAGTACGTGAACGATTGCGTCGAAATAAAATATATCAGATCGAGGTTTGCCTCTTATTTTTATTTCTGCTTATAAAAATGCAGATTCAGAGATTGTGATTGTTAATAAAAATAAGTTTACGACGTGATGACGTGTCTCTAGCGACAATGGATCGCGATACCGCATGATCGATAAGATATTTCGGTGCTGGAACAACGCCAAGCATTAGAAAAAGCATTTTTTTTGCTTTTTTTAACGGCTAATAAAATTCTTGCGAAATCTTCGCAGGAAAGAAGAGTGCAGGAATTTTCGAAATCAGGAGATGGTGTGCGTTACATCTCATTACGATAAAATCTACGTATTTCGATGCTGGTCGCAAGCCAAAGTGCGATGCGTGTAAAGAATTTATTATGTAACCGCGTTAGAATTATTGCAAAATTCGAATCATCACGGAAAGCCTGCATCTATAATGAATTTGCATTAAAATAATTTGCGATTACTTATATTCTACTGTATAATATAAACCACAGGTTACATTGTAAGTTCGAGTTTAGCAATATTTAAATCATGCCTTATTAGTTAAAATAATTTAGTTATAAAATAAAGCAATACTTAAATACCAATATAGCTTTGCAGAAAATAGTTATTATAAAAATCATATATGTTTGCTTAGCCTGTAAACACATGCTATAGGAAGGATCTCTTTATACTGTGTGTAATGGATTTAAAACTATATTAATAATTTCATCTATCAAGTAAAAAAAAAAATAAAAAATTGAAAAAAAAAACTTTTTTTTTCCTAAAGAGGTATGTAAATAATATAGTATTTTATGTACAATATCGGAATTGTTTAATATCTTTTCGCAATATTTTGCAGAAACAAATTTTATATATTCTTCTCAGTTAAAGATATGAAAAGGCTCGTCCAGGAGAATCGAATACCTCAAAATGCCACTGTCAATTAAGAGGTATGAAATATTATGCAAAGCCTGTTGATCATCGAGACGCAATATTGCAGCTAAAACCAAAATTAGCTTTCAGGGAAATACTAAACGCTACATAAATAGTCGGCTTTCATGGTGCAAAATGCGAGACGACGATATCAAAGCAATATCACTATAAAATTTCCTTTTCCTGATTCCTACAAGAGAATATATCAGATAATCTGTTTTTAACAAAGAATTTATTACAAATGTTTCTGTATAAGTTTATTAAGTATATATATAAAGATGGGAGATTATTCATTACATATAATAAAATTTTTTACATGTCTCAGTGGTCGAATTGGTAAAGATCCCGTCACGGATTGGAGGGAGGTCCAGGTTCGAATCCTGGCTAGGGTGATATTTTTCGCAATAAATTCTTGACAGTAATTTAAAGATTGCTTATTAGCATAAAAAAGTTAAATCAATTATCGATTTAAGTTATACGTTAAATTTATTTATTACTTGAATAACTATGTTTTAAGACCGACAAATAATCAGCTTTGAGTGGAAAAAGTATATAAATTCACACAAATATTATTAGACTACAATGAAACAGCCCGACAGAAGATGGCATATCTCTATTTACTTATCAAAATTTTTTAATTATAGATCCTACTAAGAAGATGCTAATATTCCATAGAAAATCATTTTTATCATCTTGGATCAGGTATCACACATTGACATACATTGCCGGCCAAAAGTTTGAGACCACTATAAAATATAAAAATATTCCAATTAAGTACTACTTAAAAAAATAGATTTTTTTATTTAAGAGTTAATACGCATTATATTTAGCATAGCTGTGATTAACATAGTATTGTTTAATTTCAAGAAAATGAACTAAATACAATCTGAACTAAAGCTTTTTCTCCAGAACTGAGCTATGGACTATTTTAGAAGATTTTTTTGATGAAAGAGTTTTTCGCCAAAAAAAATAAATATACTTTTAGCTGGATTAGGTACTTAAATTAGTAAAACAGTAATTAAATGTAAAGGTGCTTACTTTGTCGAAGAAAGTGTCTAATAGTCGTTTCATTTTATAAAAAATATTTTTATAGAATTTTAAAACATTTTATATTTTTCATTATAAAACAACAAATAAAATAATAAAAATATGTTAAATTACAGTGCCTAAGTGTGATTTCATATAGTAGAAATTTTCAATTAATGGTCTCGAACTTTTAGCCGATAGTTTCTCATTTTTATTTTTTTTAAATACTGTGTACGATAAATTGCAAAGAAAATTAAATATAACTTGTCGAAAGAGTGCGAGAACTCATGGAATGAGATTATATGTATATTCTATCAATTACTTCGCTCAAATCCGTGTTATTCCTTAGTCATTCGGTTATCGCGATCACTCGTATCACTCACTCAGTCCGCAAACGAACGTGACCATCGCAAGATCGGCGTCATATTCTAAGTCTCCCGGAGGTCCGCGGGCCTTTCCTCTCCTTTTACGAAGGGTTGATTAACTAGTTGCGAATTCGTGTACCTGACCTGGCTATCACGCTTCGGCTTTACCGATTTACGAGGAAACGCCCAGCTACGTCGGTGGCCGACACGAAACTCGCGAGTCTCTGTGGTATCCAACCAGTAATTCCGGGCACAATGCTAAATTTCATGTACTATAATTATAGATACCCAGCCCCCACTCGTACACATTACAAAAGAATAAAGAATACAAAGCACAATATGGACGCGATTGCGCGACAGTTAATCTATAAGTGACAATTCGTGAGTTATTGAGGACGTCACCGATACATATAATCGGAAATTCGATCCTCAATGTAACACAGGATAATGAACTTTAAGCGATGGAATTCAATATAATTAAAATACATATAGCAAATAAAATGTAATAAATAATTCCTTAAAGTTTGGAATTAAATTATCAACAATTTAAATACATATTTAAATTTAAATATGTTTACAGTAAATAAGTATCTATACCAGTAAATAACAATCTATGAAATCACCGAAACAGACAATATAGTCTGCAATATTTTAAGTACATCGTACAAAGTCGCGAAATCTTAGATCCGCGATCGTAATGTATATCCAGAACAACAGTAAATTTGGATAAATCCCAAATATAATGTCAGGTTTTACAACTAATTCACCTATATTAAACTGACATCAAAGTAAGAGATTCACGGTTTCCTTATTAGTGCCCTACGAAGCGTCTGTAATTATTTATGCAGCTTTCGCATGAACACTTGAATGCGTATTTTTTCATACATATTAAAAAAATAGCAGAATAAATATTAAATAATCGCGGATATTCACGCTGCATATAAGAAAATCTTTTGATTCCCCTATTGCTTTTGTGTGCGAGAATCAACTTTTTGACAGAACTAACAAACTTGCTATCACGAAAAGGTATGAAAGATTTCCATTTATAAATAATTTAAAAATGCAAAAATTTTTACAATTATTTCAGAATTATTATTCGGTTTAAAGGTGAAAAGAATTCGATTCTGCGAGAAAGCGATAAAATAATGGCGAACGGCGTCGGTCGTCAAGAGGAATGTGTCGCACAAAGTCACCGTTGTGAATCGTGGCACGGGGTTTAATTTAACTCACGGTATTAATTCACTCCCCCGTCCCCCGACGGCCACCCACTCCGTTTCTGCTTATAAATTTGGGGAAGCTTAACTCGCACTCGAAATAGTTTAGGAGCTCTCGGCGGAGGATGGACGCCGGCATCGAGATGCGTATTAGATTTCAAAACGGATCGTAGCTTTAATACGGAGAATATAATTAATGTTTCAAGAATTGAGAGAGATATATCTCTTACCAGATGTCATCTTATTAGACAATAGATCGCCATGCACGTCGTGCACTTCTGGATATTATTTATGCGCGGCAGTCACGAAGAATTATGACGCGTGACGCGACCTGTCATTATACGCGCAATGCAAATTTCTCTCTTGATCCCCTCTCTTTTTGAATTGGCTTTACAGAATTGCAAGTTTTTGGTCTAGAATTAAAGTACGCACAAAAATCTACATCGCGTTGTACGATTTCATATCGGAAACAAAAAAAAATTAAAAATTTTACTAATTTGGGCACATACAACTGTCATCTGACGACAATAACAAAATTACTGCAGTTTATATATATATAATGACACCAAGGCGACGTAGGGACAACATGTAGGAACAATATCGTGTAAATAAAACTAAGATTCAACGTCTAGAAAAAAAGATTCCGTAAAATGAAGTTTTATTAAGCAAAAGCACATTTAGGTTGACAGGATAAGCAGTATTGCGTGTAGCGAGAGATGGCGCAGCAATCGAACAAAGACAGATGCCTCTGGTTAGACAAGGACAGACATAGATATATAACATAGAAAACAGGATTAGAAATGTTGACATTACCGACGTCGAGGAAGTTCGGCCTTCGCTATAGGATCCCCTTAAGTGGTTGTCTTAAAATATTTCCATCAATTCAGTGAATTGTAAGGTGATCAAATTTATTTTGTTTTCTTCATTTTTAAATATTTACTAAAATATTTACTAAATCCGAAAAGATAGATAAATGAAATATCAACATAAAAGAGAAGAGTAAAGATATTATTAAAACTATTATTATATAATATAAAGTGTAATAATTAGCAAATCTATTTTATCACTTGTGACTTCTCAGATTATTTTTTTTTTTTTATTGAATAGTCGAATGTATTAAGCTGCACGTAATAAGGGTGTAAAATTGAATAGCACAAGCACTTCATTCAGTTCACACGCCAAAGAAAGAAAACCGCGCATCTCGAGACAATGATATTTCTCAAGCATTAAAGTTTAGTGAGTTACTTGAGCAGGTGTCACAAAATGCCATGGCGACCGCACGAATATCCGAGCATTTATATCTCCGACTTACATCGCGTTCCATAACTCATCGCGTTTCTCTTCGCGTCGTGTTAAATCAGATTTCGAAGCAAAACAAACTGACGATGAGACAAATTTGACAAAAAAAAATAAAAAAGATAGAAAAAAATACATTTGTCTACAGTCTTTACTTATTGTTTAAAAGAGGGATGTCTAGCCATATTAGTCTTTTTCTACTGACAAAGAAAGCCATCCGACTTAAGTAGACAGTAGACTTAAGTAGACTTAAGTAGACAGACGAACAATGTCTGACCATACATGTTTATTTATATTAATGCATATCTTATCGTATTACATACTGAAAATATGTAATAAGTGAAAAGATTTATAAACTAATATTTAATTATATTTTTATTTCCTATGAAAGAGAAGATTGAACGATCCAATAATGCAGAACAAATGTACCACTGATCATATTATTATATTAATTCATTCTATATTACAAAATGTTCATATATTTCGAAAGAAAGGAAATAACTTCCGATGTTTACAGAATTAGAGTAGGTAGTTTGGCCAGCATCAAACATCACATGTGGATTAATAAAGGTTCTTCGTGTGGTTCTTCGCTTTTAGCAGGTTAATGGCGGTCCAACATTTGCGATCGGAGGCACTCTGAACCACTTGATGACGGCAGCACTCACACGCGTGCGCATAGATACACATGCACACACACGCACACACATACACACAGCTGGTCTGTGCCACGTAAAGTGGGGAGGGATGTAACAGGCAGAGAAGATTTAGCGAGAGATAAAGATGTATGCGTGTGTGTGTGTGTGTGTGTGTGTGTGTGTGTGTGTGTGTGTGTGTG